GTAGTTGCCACACACCTTCGTGGATTTCCTGTATATGTTCTTTGTGCCCAAATGAAGTTCACGAGTCATATAACTTCCTAAGTAGCACAACAAAGTTACATTTTCTTCCTATATTATTGTTTTCTTCCTCAATTAATTTATCCACATGTCCACATCACTAGTATATAGTCCTAAATCCCAAAAGAGTCACGAACATCAAAAGAACAATCTAGGTAAAGTGAACCTATATAATTATGGGTGGCAGCTCAGGGGTTAAAATACCTAGCATGGGCCGATCCTAATTCTTGTGCTTAAGGGTGGCAGGTCAAGGGTGGTAATACCTAGCATGGGCCGATCCCAATCTATATAATTATGGGTGGCAGCTCAGGGGTTAAAACACCTAAAGTGGGCCGATCCTAATTCTTGTGCTTAAGGGTGGCAACTCAGGGGTGGTAATACCTAGCATGGGCGGATCCCAATCTATATTATTATGGGTGGAAGCACAGGGATAAAAGCCTAGCATGGGTCGATCTCAATTTGTATATTTATGAGGACCGCATCCCAGGGGTTAAAATGCCTAGCATGGGTTATCCCGCTCCTACCACTGATCAGTTGGTCATTGTGTCACATGCTACAAAGTCTATAAAGAAAATATGAGTAAACTTAAAGCCAAGAATGTAATTAACATGATTCCCCAAGTATAACCAAAGAATTTAATGTACATGATTTCACAAGTATAAGCAAAGGTGAATGTAATGTACATGATTCCTCAAGTATAAGCAGAGGTGAATGTAAGGTATGTGATTCCACAAGTATAATCAAATGTTGTCTCTTATCCTTATTTATCTATACAAAATATTTGTGCATTTGTACCTGATTTCAGTTGAGCTCTAACTTTATATATGATTACTTATGCCTTACATATTCAGTACATTCTTTTGTACTGACATCCCTCTTGGGGGATGTTGTTTTCATGCCATAGGTACAGGTACTCAAGTTAATAAAATCTCTCAATATAAGCATAGGATACTCAACGACCTTTAGTGAGCTCCAAATTGCTTCAAGGCTTTGCCGAGTCTCTACTATATTTTTGAGATTATATATTAGTTAAGGGGTATGATGGGGTCCTGTCCCGTTATAAGCTAAGTGTCTATCTTCTAGAGGCTTTGTAGACCAACTGTCAAAGTAAAGCACATTTATATCTTTTTTCTAGTAATTAAGGCTTCAACGGCCTAGCATGTACATTAATTTTGGGCCTATCTATGTTGGTCTTTTATCAAGGTACTTGACCTATACTCATCAAAGATTTATTGTTATCATAGTTGTACAATAAGCACATACATAAGTTGGTTCTCTCTGCCTTTAGGGCATAAGGTGCCTGGCCATCTCAACGGGACTTGGGGCGTGACGGTAAATAATCTCACATAGCCTTAGCTTTCTTGAAAGGTCTGGGATTAAGAAAACTAAGTGGATCAATTGACCCTAAAGCCCATGTAATTACCCGAGTATCTTTAATCTCCCATTCTCCTAATTTTGTAGGATCACTAGGAGAAGAATCACATCCATCTATATGGCCCCGTATTCTTTTCAAGTGACAAATAAATGAAGTTGAAATTCCCATGAAGAATAATATTTTCCAGTGAAATGAATTGAAGTATTAAACCTTATATGAATTCATGCTCTTAAATAGCTATGAAAACTAGAAACACTATGACTCAATGAAATAACTATAATGACAAAGATCAAGAGCCTTAAGTGTTAAGGACTAATTGTCGACGAACTGTCTGCAAAATCGAGATTTTCAAAAAAAAAATTCTTTGAAAGAAACCAAAGATGGACTCTATGAAACAAGACAGTTAAGAGATGACTCTAATACCATGTCAAGAGTTTTGTTGAATGCCTCTTAAAGTGAGATCCTTTCCATTATATAGAGAGTATACACATTACATCCCGAATGATCCGTCATATATATCCCTAAAGATCAACTATTCTATCCCTCTAAATATGCTATGCAAATCCATCTAAATCTGACATGTTATCCCTCCAAATATGCTATTCTATCACAATATTTATTCTTTATGATTACTTTGACAAATCTCTATAATTATACTTATTTACAACACTATATACTTACATTAGTATATACAATCTACCATGCTAATAGTTCTTCTGCCTGGAAGGGCATGTTAGAGGGGGATGTATGCTCGAGATGATCAAATGAATAGAGATGATAAGCGTATAATTTCTCTTGATGATCATAACCAAAGTATTCAAGAGGTTCGACTATAATAAAACCGCTTACAAAGAGTAGTTCAATTTTAACATTCATGTGTAGATTTATATGCCTGATTGACTAAATAAACAATATGAGTACTTTTAGATACTACAACATGTTTTGAGGTGTTCCTTTATTAATTTTTATTCTTCATATATTGGTTACTAGTTTTTAGGAACGTGCGTTGCACGTTAGCCCCAATTAATATAAAATTTCTACATTTTAAAAAAGTTTTAACTTATGAAATAGAAAATATTAACATCAAAATATTGCAGATTTTACTATTTGAATCTATTCATTAAAAACGCAATTAGTGGGAGGATATAATAACCTCTGGCCCTCTGATAGTATGCAAGAGAATTCTTGCTCTAATTTTAATAAATGCATGTAAAAATATTTAAAAAATTTACAAAAGAAAAATATGAAGAAACATATCTTTTTACAAAACCCCAAATAGAATTGTTTGTTTAGATTTAAAAATGCTATATCAGATTAAGTGAAATATAAAATTAATTGCACTACCTAAAAAAATATTCCTTTTTTCTCAGCCAAGCAAGCATTTTACGTAAAGATGATATTTGAATGTTAAAGAAAAAGATACATTTTCATTTCACAAAAAATAAAATACCTCTCAATTCTATATTCCAAATGAATTAAAAAATAAATGGTTAATTATGAAGTAGTACAAGTATTATGCATACAAATACATAGATAATTTAAATTCAACAAATTCTCCTTATATCATTTGGATGCCTCAACAACCACAAAGTCATAACTTGAATAAATTTTTAACTCCTATCTTATGGATCGTTTTTTAAAAATCTGAAGTACTTCATCCATGCACAAAGTATTGCATAAATGTGTTATATCCAGTACAACAGTGCCTGTTGTTATGTTAAAATAAAAATATAAAGTTGATACACAATAAAGAAACGATTTTTTTGAAATAAATGCATGGAAAGAAAAATAACTACATTACCAAGTCTCTAGCATTCAATCAAAACTAAAACAAATACAAGTTTACAATTTGTCAATTAAATAGGGATTAGACGGTAGAAACAACCACACAACAACGTGTATAGAAATAGTTAGTTGCAATATGTGTACCGTCAAATGATAATATGACGATTAAACTTATTTCTTGTTCGATCGTGGTATTCAATAAAAGGTCCAAAGTTACTTTACATAAACTTGTCGCAAGCAGTACCATGTGAAATAGATTGTTACTTACCTTTGTTTCTTTTAACCAAATGTGCAATTTGAGCATCATGGCGGAGAAGTTGGTTAGCAGTAAACCTCTTGCAATTATTTGGTAATTGATAAATATCATGAAAAGGAAACAATAGAGGATATCACTAAAAACAATTAGCAATAACTGGGCAAAACAAATTCTCACCAAAAAATAAGAGCCAACGTTTCATATGAAAAGAGACGCAAAAGGAAAAGTTGATGAAGAGTTTCTTGGTAACTGCTCTCCTTTAACATTATTATTATGAGATTGTGTAATAGACTTTTCATTTTCTCCAAATTTCAGATTATTTGAACTCAGACTTATTACTAAATATATATACATATATAAATATGATGATTAAGATTATTTAATATTTAATTAATGAGTACATTGATATTGCTGGCCAAAATGATTTTTTCTTAAAATATTTATATTTAATCAAATTTAAATTTAGTAGAGGGACAAAATGGTAATTCAACTTTTCACTTTGGAGCTTTCCACTTATAATAATATATGATAACTAAAATCAACTCTCCACTATGTACCAACTTTACTTCATACATTTTGAAAGCTAATCTATTGGTGATTTTCAAGAACATATCATTCTATTTGAGAATAAATTGAAAAAGAAATTAAAAATATTTGTTCTAGTTGGAATGTTGACTTGTAGATGTGTTTTTGTGGTTGACTCCATCTGTTTTTTTTTTTATGCATATTTTGACACTATGAAGTTGGACATGTTGGAATTCCATAGATTTCTAACTACCACATGAACTCTTCATGCTTCAATTTATCATGTTGTATTATTTGTGATTTTTTAAAAGGTCTTTTTATTGGTGCACTTATAACCAACTCACAATGTTTCAATTAAATAAGTAGATACTAGATAGAATAGTAGTTCAGTGATTTGCATTATATTCTCCTATTTCTCTGTTTGTGATATGTAAATGTGAAAAATGAGCTTATAGTTTAGTTGGACTTATATGGAGTATTTAATTCATGTAATTTTGCAGCCATTGGTGGTCCCATTGGAAAGCTTCTTGAGCAATATGCTCAGACATTAGATTAAAATTCTGCTAACTTTGGCGCTTTTTTAGTGTGTTACTTAACGGCTCTCTGATCGTGCTCTCGGCGTAAGATAGAGTGAAGTGCTATCGTGCGCCTCGCCTGAATGGCGAAGGGAAGAGGACGAGAAATGGGACCTTTACGGAAGCTTGACTTGATGAAAACAACGAGTAATACGACGAATAGCAAAACTTTGGCAAAAATCCCAAATCTGGCAACTAATATACAGAAAGAAGAAGTAACTGAAGATTTCCCAAAACTAAAATCTCCAGTGGAGGGTTTAGGAACAGAAACAGTGGGAAAGGGGAAGAAATCTGAAGGAAACAAGGAGGCGAACCCTAGTGCAGATGGGGGTGAAGCCGATGGCGCAAAAACACAACCCTCACAAGAGGCGAAAGAGGGGAAAAATGGACCAGCCTTTTCTCAGGGAACCGACTAGCTGCTCGAGGTATGAACTTATGTTATGTGCCTCCAATATTGATAGATGGCGAAAAGGTCATCCAACTGGAGAAACAAGAGTTTGAGGCTGAAACAGTGAAATGGAAGCAGGCAGTAGTTCTGTATGTAGTTGGCGACTCTCTGTCCATTGGTGCAGAGGAACGCTTCATTGCTGCGAACTGGAACTTTGTGTCTAAGCCAAAAGTCTACTACCATAACGATGGATATTTTGTAATACGATGCAGTAGTATAGAAGATAGAGATGAAGTGCTATTCTCAGGACCGTATACGATGTCTAGCAGACCAGTCATTGTTAAGGCATGGTGTCCTAATTTCAATTTCAATAATGAGGTGTTGCGAATGATTCCCCTATGGGTCAAACTACCAAACTTGCCGCTAAATTGCTGGGGCAATGACTCATTAAGCAGAATCGGAAGCGGATTAGGCCGCCCCTTATATGCGGATGAGTGTACATCTTGTATTGATCGTATTTCCTTTACGAGGATTCTAGTTGAAATGGATAACACTCAAGTGTTGCCTGTTCACGTGAACGTGCAAGATCCAAATGGAAGGGTGTTTGAGCAGAGCATAGAGTATTAATGGAAGCCCTCATACTGCACAAAATGTCTCATAATTGGTCATTCTTGGCAAAACTTTGAAACCAAGAGACAAGATGAACATGGTGTAAATAAGCAGAAAACTAAGCCAGTTAAGATGGTATGGGCGAAGTCCTGAACCCAGGGTGAGATGTCAAGCACGATAGCTACTCAAAAGGATACGGTTAGCAATCAAGAGAACCCCCGACCCAAGAGTGAGATGGCTAGCACAAAATCTGCTCAACATGAAAAAATGTTCAACAAGCAGGAGAACGTGATCACCACATTACCAACTGAACAACAGGTACATTATAAGGAACAACAAGCTACTATTAGCCATCAAACTAAGCAGATGACCAGTCCTAAACAAAATCAAGACGACACATGGAAAGAAGCTAGGAATAACTCGTTTGGGAAGCTTGTCCAAACTACCCTTAAGAATCGGGTAGTTCCTATTGCAAATGTTTTTAATCCACTGGTGGAGGAAGTAATACAGGAAATGGAAAATGAAAAAAGTAGAATGAATCAAGGCCAAAGTAGCTTGGAGGCTCCAGCAATACCAAAAAATCCTAAACTTTTGATATGAAGTTGGTAACGTGGAACGTAAGAGGTTTGAATAAAGTATACAAGCAAAAGGAGTTGAAGGTGTTCTTACCAGAGACAAATGTAGGTTTGATTGCTATAATTGAAAATAGAGTCAAAGAGATTTCTTCCCCAAGGATTGTGTAAAAGATTGCATATGGATGGAAATGGTGCAACAACTACCAACACTCTAACGGAGGAAGAATATGGTTATTATGGGATCCCGCAAAGTGTGACTTTACTCACACGCATTCCAGTAGCCAATATATACATGGGATGGTAAAAGTTTATCGAGACAATATGGATTTCCAATTCACTGCTATTTATGGCTTACATAACATAAAAGACAGGGGCGTATTATGGGCAGACCTAAAAGGCATAGCTGATCAGATGCTAGACTCGTGGTTAATTATGGGAGACTTTAACACAATTTTACATATTGAGGATAGAAGCAACGGGGCTCCTGTCAAGGAAGCCGAAATAAGAGATTTCAACAAATTCTTAGTAGAAACGGGAATGATGGAAATGAAAGCCGTGGGAAGGGACTACACATGGACAAATGAACATGTCTACAGTAGAATAGATAGGGCAATTGTGAATGCTCACTGGATACAGAAATGGGCACATATGGAGGCAAATATCATGGACCCACGGTGCTCAGACCACTCTCCTCTGTGTGTGGCTCTATTTACTATTGAGAAGAAAAATAATAGACCGTTTAGATTCCTAAATTGCCTAGCAACTCATCGAGAATTTTTTCACGTAGTGCAACGAGGTTGGAATGAACCAGCTTATGGAGCTAGCATGAATAGAAGTTGGATGAAACTTAAATATGTGAAAATGGCTTGAATAACCTGAATACACATGAATTCTCGGGGATAGAATCCAAAGTGAAAGATTTTAGAAGACACCTCTCTGATATACAAGCACAAATGAGAAACGTGAATCATCAGACAACATTATTTGAAGAGGAGAAAGTAATAAACAAGCATCTTGGCTTATCAAGAAAATTTTCAAAGCTACGGAGTACGTGGAAGCTGTTGGTTACACAGAAGATCAATTCCAAAGATTGCAATATTTCTCTGTAAAAAAAGATGTACCAATTGGTGCAAGGAGTGTTTCCAAAAGTAAGATGGAAGAAATTAGTTTGCAATACCTCTTCTGCCCCGAAATGGTTGTTCATTATGATGTTGGTTGCTCATGGAAGGTTGTACACGAAGGATAGGATGATTCACTGGGGAATGAGTGTCAATTCAGTATGCCCTTTGTGTGAATCAGAGAATGAGTCGATCTCACACCTTTTTTTTCAGTGCTCTGTTTCAACATCAATGTGGAACAAGCTACTACAATGGCTAGGACAGAGACGACAAGCAAAAGCATGGGAAGAAGAACTTACATTGGCAGTGAATCATCATAATGGGAATAGTGTTGCAGCAACAATTTATAGAATGGCCTTAACAGGCTGCATCTATTATATGTGGCAAGAGAGGAACCAAATTGTTTTTCAAGGAAAAAGAAGAGAAATATCGGACCTTGTGAAGAGAATAATTCATGACGTATATTTCAGAGGCTGTCTTAAAGTAAAATTAACTAAATACTTGACGATGTTGAACTACTATCCAAGCTAAAGTAGTCGATAGATAGTTAGGAAATGAAAAGTTATTAGTTGGGTTCGATCTAGTCGGAATAGTTCTTTTTCTTTTTCTTTTTTTGAGTTGTAAACTTCTCTTTGGTAATAAAATGCTTACTTACCAAAAAAAATAAACTTTGGCCCTTTTAAGGCCAGTTAATGATTTTGAGAATTTCCATTACTCCTTCTCTCAACCCTTTTATATGTGATCTGTGACACATTAGTAATAAAATTGTCTGTTGTTTACACTTGCAAAAATGTTTATTCCAACTGGAAATATGACTCTGTTGTAAATTTGAATATTCAAACATGTTAGAGTTTCTCATCTTCCTTGAGCATAAGGGGGAGACTTTCTCTTACAATTTTATTGTATGCATTTCAGCACTTCCCTTATTAATAATTTTCACTTAATGAATTTTTATCTTTTCTAATAAATAGAACTAAAGAAAATTCATCTCTATTACATTCGTGATATGAAGGTTAAGGGGGTAGATTAGTTGAAGAGAAAGTAGCTGAAATTTTGCCTCTAGCGGGTGATGAAGGGAAAGGTATCTTGATCATCTTAGAATTCATTCACGACCAAAAGTGAAATCATGATAGCATATACTATAAACCTCTATTAGGTAAGCCAAATCCAAGACAAAAATACAATAAATAAAATTATTAATAATTAAAGCAGAAGCAATATTAAGGTAAGAGTGGGACCCTAGCATATATAATCATTTTCTATCATCATATTATATTAAAAGTGGGAAGCTTTTTCCATCAGAGTTGGATTGTCATTTTGCCCCTCCACTAAAATAAAATATAATTAAATATTAACATTTTAATTACATTATAAAAAAAATCAAAGTGCAACAACTGAACTTAAATTATGTAGTTACGGCATCACTAGGAATTGGAATAGAGATGTTAATTCAATTTGAGGTATTGAAGACCTCAATGGTCATTCATGTTAGGATATACTATTAACCATGTGGTTTATTTATAGCATTATGTTTTTATCATTATGTAAAGACTGATTATTTTATTTATTTCATTTTATAAAATTCCATTTAAATAAAGCATTGTGCCTACACGTTTATCCTTTACTTATACAATAGACAATTTAGTGTATGAAGTCTCTTGGCTCATACACGGAAGATTGAAATTTTTGGTCACTATAAGTTATAAATATAAGTTCACAATCGAAGATGAAGTTGGACAAACATGCATCTTGATGATTGTAGCACAAGATTAGATATAATTTGATCTTGATTATGGGAGTGGCTCCATTCAAACTTCTTATGCTAGTACGCTTTTTGTATGTATTGAACAAACTAAGTAGAAAAGCTTGTTTATGTTCTGAGTATTTATATAACCTCTTTCCTAGAATCATTAAATGTACTTATACTCTCAATCTTGATATAATTATTATGATAAATATAATTTATTTGTCATCTTGATCTGGCAAAAGGTGAGACACTAATGTGGGTCAATATATTTCGGATAAATTGGACGATGATAAATAATAATTAGTTGATAGAATCCATGTCTCGATCTTGAGATTGATGATACCACTTTATAATTGCTTATAAGTTGTCATGTGAAAGCCCTGCAGGTGGATTTATATATATATATATATATATCATTAAGCATAGCAATAAAGAATTAAATTAATCAATAAATTAATTTATCAGAGATTTAATTTAATTGATTGGTATAGGTAATTCTAACATGGAGAGTTAAATAAGATTTAATGTTGGATTTTGAAATTAAATCGAGGAGTGCAATTAGGGATTTTTGGTGGAATAATTTGTAATTTATTATAGTAGGATTAATTCACTCATTTTTGAATTGATACCATAATTCGAAGCCTCTACTATTAAATATGTGGTCCCTACTATACCAGATTAAATATATATATTTTGAGAAAATAAAATACAAGATTCTAGAAGTAGTTAAAACTATTTTTTAGTGTACTTCTAGACATGTTTCAAAATTTGAAACGTGCAGAGTCTTTTTGTTGAGAGAAAGACTCCCTCACCTATCCATTATCAATTGGGGTAACATGGATAAAAGGAGAAGCCTCTCACAAATTCTTTGCATCCATTTTTTACGCATCACAAAATATACTACACCCATAGAAGCAAAATCTGGTTTTAGTAGAAGGCCGCAGACCTGGAGACTACTGTTTTTGATGATCTTTGTGAAATCTTCAACAGGTTTGTGAATCTTATTCACAATTTTTCTATATCATCTAGATTAATTGTATGTTTTGTGATCATGTGTATACTTCCGCTGTCATATCTTCTATTGATTCACTCATATCTAAGTCTTTTGTCCAAATCTTCAAAAGTCACATTAATTCATAATTCATTATATTTTTCGTAGAATTTTTTTGATATTTAATGACCAGTTATATCCGTTTCATCTTATTTGTCTACATTATTTAAAATATTTAGCAAAAATTATTTGTTAATTTACAAAATCAAGATAGAATTAATTTAGAAAAATCTTTTTTTTTCCTCTTAAATTTATTAATTCTTTTGAAAGTATACATATCGTAAAGTTTCAATAACTTATACTGATAATCTTGGTATTAATGAATAAGTTAAGGCACATAAATAAAGTGTATTAAAAATAGTTAAACAATAAATTAGTAAAAAGACCAGCCTAAATATTATTTCTTAAAATTCCTGTAAGGAAAAAAAATGGATAAGTAATATATGAATCGGGGGAAGTATGTAAATTAGCAATAGAAAAAAAAGGTTATACCTTCATTAGGCTTGGAGTATATTTGTCTTCTTTTT